GCGGTCACAGCAGGCCAGGGAGACGCCCCAGTCTTGGCGCGCCGTCTCCCCGCAAAGCTGCGCCCTGGCTCCGGCCTCCCCGCGTGCCCGGCGGCCGCAGGATCTCGCTCCCGCTCCCCAGGGCCGGTCCCGGCGCCCGGCCTCGCTGCAAAGCCCCGGGGAGTCGGCCGGAGAGGCGGGCCCCCCGCTGCCTCCGCGGGGCCCCCGCTGCTCCGTCCGGGGCTGCGCGCACCGCGGGCCGGAGGCAAAGGGGCGCCCGGGGGCCCGGGCCAGGGCGCAGCGCCGGCTCGGCTCCGGCACGGCTCCGGCTCCGGGCCAGCGGGGGGACGTGCCCCGGGGAGGCCCCCCCGCGCCCGCGCGCGCGCATTCCCGCCGCAAATGTCAGCCCGGCGCCCCCGCCTCGCCCCCCGCCCGGTTGTCACCCGATCCGGCGGTGACGCGCGGGCAGCCCTGGCCCAGAACAAAAGGCGAGGACGGCGCTGACCTTCGCCGCCGACTCCGGCCTTATATAGCAACCTCGCGCCGCACAAAGGCGCCTTATTATAGCCACGGGCCGCCTGGTCCCCCCCCCCGCCCCCCGGGGACCGGAATAGAACCCAGGAGTCCGGGCTCCCAGCATGCCCCGCTTTGGCCACCCAGCCTGCCCTTCCAGAGCTGGCCATGGGGCAAGAGGCGGCCGGGCTCCCATCAGCCCCTCATCCCGGGGCCGAGGTTTGGGGAAAACCCAGCTTCGGCTGGAGAGGGGCGCTGGAGGTGGCACGAAACTCCTCGTGGGGTTCAGATGGAGGAGAAAAAGAGGGGCTGGGGTGCAGGTCTGGCTGTGGTGCCCAGGAGGTGAGCCCCAGGTGGTCGCAAAATCGGAAAGGCACTCAGTGCATGCCCAGAGATGCTCTCCGTGACACCTCTGCCCAGAAATGAGGGCTGGTCCTGAGAAGAGGTTGTGGGAGAGGGCAGGGGGACTAAGCCCAAAGAAGCAGTTATTTAGTTACTTTGTCTGTCTGTCTGTTTATTCTATTTGTAACCCACCTTTCTTCCTCTCTCAAGGTGGGCAAGGCAGCCCACATCACTCTCCTCCTTTCGATCTAATCTTCACAACAACCCTGGGAGGTAGGCTGGACTGAGAGTCTGTGACTGGCCCAAAGTCACCCCGTTGGCTCCATGGCTGAGCGGGGACTCGAACCCAGATAGCCCGAATCCCCAACTCTTAACCACTACACCACACTGGCTCTCAGATTACAGGCTCAAAGTATGACAGATACATTGAGATCCCACATCCAAACCACCAGCTTTTGTGGCTTCTTTATTTTGGAAATTTTGCCCAAGTTGAAATGTGGAACTGGGGGTAATGTCAGTCCTGCTGTTGTCATTTAATCATTCAGCGTGGCTCCTGGCCAGCAAGATTTGCAAATTACTTCTAAATGTATCTAGAACTGCACATTGAGCTTTTGCTATTGGGTGCTCAAGAAATGTAATCAATAAATGAATATATAATAGAAATCTTGCTGCCATCAGGGCACCATTCTAGACACTTTTAGCAGTAATTTACAAGGCCATGTGGACAGCAGATAAATCCTCACTATCTGGAAAAAAAAACTCAAAATACCTCGGGGGAAAGGACAAACATGGCAGTTATATTTGCTGTTTTGTCGTCTCCCCCAAAATAAAACCCCCTCAAGGGACAATCCAGTGCCTTTTCAAGCAGCAAGGTACTCTACAATTCCCAGCATGCCCCAGCCAGCCATGTTGCCTGTTGTAAACCCCTTTTTGACCAAGAATACACCCTTCTTGCTTAAAATAATGACTACAAACTCGAGCTCCCCGAAACCTCCTAGCTGGAGCTTTGAAGATCATTAATATTATGACTAAGATATCCTCTTCACTTTCATGTGTTTAGGCAAATTCATATTCCTGCGGAGCAGGAACAGAATTACTGATCACAAGATAAAGGGCACTGTGTGTCTATCTTTTCTCTGTGAGAAGCCTGGGACCCAGTCCGCATTTTCTTTACCCATGTTAAAAAAAGGTGTTTGTCCGTACAGATTCAAATGCCGTTGCTTTGCTACAGCCTTTTCGGGCAACCTTGGACAGCCAGCCATGGGCAGGCCTCTCATAGTGAGAGCCAGGTGTGTTTGTGTCTGCGCCTTCTGTTCCTTTCCTTTAAAACAACCGTGGGAGGCTTTTGTGTTCGTCAGGGCTGTTGCTGGGGCCGGAGGCTGTATTCCACCTCTCCATATCATTTTTTTTCTTATAGCAGCTTCCTGGAGGTGATTTCGATTGCAAAACCAGCCCAAGGAGAACGCACATCATGGGCTATCCAAAGTTGTTAATCCAAACGGGCAAAAGTCAACTTTGGTTCGTGTGCCGATTCCATAAATGCAACTCAATTAATGGGCGGAGAAGAGAAAACACTAGATGCCATCTGGAAATGTTATCCGAAGAAGATAACACCTTCTTCTGTTTACCGGATAGAGGGGAGAATTGGAGGTGAGCATTTGAAACTCCAGGGCAAAACGTCCCTGAATCATCTGGGGCTCTTATAATACCCCCCAAGCCTTCCCCGAATTTCTGAGATAGTCTCAAAGCCCCAGGGAAACCAACGTGGCTTAATCATGTGCTGAATTTATATCTGGCTTTATTGTCTCACTGCGTTTTTGGGCAGTTGGGGTGCAAGAAACTGTGGGTGCAGGCGTGGGAAGGCGTGCCAGGGAAACAAGATGAGAAAACGGCACGTTTGTGGGATGGGGGTGGCGAGGGGGGCACTCCCTGGTTGCATAAAATGAATACCGGTCTTCTGCTGCTCTCCCTCGACTCCCCAGGGACTCTCCACCCCCCAGAGGAATCTCGTCTCCGTTGTTCCAAGATATTTTGATGCCCCCCTTCTCCCCCCGCCTCTCCTTGAACCTGTTCTTTTTCTTCATGCCACAACAATGACGACTAGTTCCAATTGTTCCAGGGCATGGAGAGATGGGGTGGGGGTGGATTGGGCCTGCGAGTCCATATGAGGCTGGCCAGGGGGAGGGGCGGGGGGAGCAGGGGTTTATAACAAGGGCTCTGGCCAAGCTCTCTGCTTAGAACCCCCATCTGCCCTGGTCTCAGGTAAGGCCCCGGCCGGCTAGCCGCACTCGCCTTCCTCCCCGGTCCGGTGCACCCGCATCCTGGGAGTGCGACAGGAGGCATCATCAGAAAGGGGATAATTGCGGGGAGGTGCTGGTGCTGGTCTCCTGTCCCCTCCCGCGAGTCTATATTCTGTTTGTGCGAATTCTGGGGCAGAGGGTACTATAAGAAAGCTGTAGTGGAATGTGCATTTCTGTGTCAAAGCATGTGAATTTAGGATGCTGCACATCCAGCCTCACTGGGGAATGATCTTGCAAGCACAAGAAATTGGGGTGGGGGGGGTCAGTGTGTGACGATGTTTGCACTGGAGGGGCCCGGACATCCCAGTGCACGATCGCACAACTGTAGGCAGGAAGGTCGACGAAGCAATTTGCAGAGGGGCTTGGTGCAACCAGTCGCGAGTGTCTCTAATGTGTTCTGCGTGTGCAAAACCGATCCTTTCACACCTTGCATTCGGGGGAGAACTTTGCCCGTGTGGTCACGCATCCATAAGCATGCTTATGAAATGCCGTGCAAACTATGTGTCGCACGGAGGCAGTGATCTCGGAGGTGTGCGCACGGAGGGCTGCTGTGGTGTCTTGCTTAGCGTGCTGGACCGGGACTCGGAAGACACACGCTCTCATCCCACCTGATTCTCATGCTGACCTACTTCCCAGGGTTGTTGTGCGAGAAAATGGAGATGATTCTGTGAGCCATCTTCAGTTTCTTGTAAGAGGGGGGGAAAGGCATGTTTAAGTATCAAAAGAATAACTTGGCCTGTGTTTGGGTGAGCACTGAATTTCTCACGGTGTCTATGCAACAGGTGCGTCTCTTACTAGGTATGGAAGGTGTGTTGATTCTCCTTTTGCAAATCCTGTTATTCACGGTCACTCTAATGACTGTAGAATATTCAAATATCCAGGCAGTCAAATCCAAAACATTTGCACACCTCTCTTCGTTCTCTGAAAGGGCTCCAAAAATTGTGCACCAGCCTTTCCCAACCTGGTTCCTTTTAACGGTGTTGGACTAGCCTCCCAGCTTCCCACAGTCCAGCTGTTGTCCTGAAAGCAGGAAGCATTTAAAAAGCAAAGCCATTTCATTTTTCAGTCCTGCAATCAGCCTTCCCTTTTTTCTTTCCGCTCAAGTATTCCCATTAATTTGCAAAAACGAACACCTGCCAAGTCTCCCAATATGAGAATTTCTCCACCACCACCTGCTACGAAGCTGAATGTTAATTGAATGTTAGACCTTCGGCTTAAAATCCAGAGGCCAGAATCCTTGGGGTATTCATTTACCCCTACACAAATCTGTGAGCTTGTGGGGAAAATTCCCACAAGCCTCATTTTCCTCCCAGATTTGCTAGCGGGAGGTCCTGTATGGGTCATGAATAACGTGCACGAGGGCGAGAATCCTGCAAGGTGTTTCTATGATCCTAACAGAGAATGAAAGCAATTTTCATGCTCGCTGTGAGATCTGCTTTTTTCAGGCTTGGAACGAAAAGTGTGAGGTTGTTGTACAGGCAGTGTTGTCTCCAGAGCAGATAGTAGGGAGAACTCCAAGTAAGGAAAAGCTGCTTCGGCCCAAGTACGTGTGACTGAAATAACAGATAATTATTATCTATCTTGCCCCTTCCTCTGCCGCATCTTCCGAGCTGAATTTTAGACTGCATGCTCTTTGGGGCAGGGAGCTCGGGTGTCATAAAGTACAGAAGCACATAGATGGTGTCACATTTAACATCACAGCATTTTATGTATCTCCTCCCTAGTGTCTTGTTCTCATTAGAGTATATTGGAAACAAACAGATAGAATTTGCGGGCGGGGAAGAATCACATGTGCATTTGGTCTGAATTCTTTCCCTCTTTCCAACAGGAGCCTGGCCCAAGGTGTCATCCGACTGTAGATCTCCTGTGGAATTCTAGGAAAAGAAAAAGGTACTGAGGTGCAGCTATTCTGGGGGCTCAAGGCTGCTTAATATATATTTTGGTGCCCAGTCATGGTCTCTTCTAGGGTGGGGCTTAGGCACTGTTTTTAAGGGATACCGCTGCTTCAAAGCCAGAGCAGTCCTCCTGTTGTCCACACGGGGGCAGCAGCAGCTGCACTTCCTATTTGCAGGGATGTGTCCAGCTGCTTGAAGTTGCCCCCTAGTGGGCACTTTGTGAACCACACATTCCAGCACGGCTCCATGGTGGAAATGCATGGCGCGTGTTTCTCCCAGTGGCCCGTTGGTGAAGGACCCTGTTCCCAACCACCACACCCAAAGCCATGGGTTCAAATCCTACACTGTGTTGGATTTTTTTTTTTTTTTTTTTTGCTCATGCACAAAGTCATAATCTGCTGTTACGTGTTCACCTTGAAAATGTTTTGCTTCACCTCTAGCCATGGCTTCAGATGCTGAGATGGCCGAGTTCGGCCCCGCTGCCCCTTACCTGCGCATGTCGGAGAAGTCAAGGATTGAAGCGCAAAACCGGCCTTTCGACATGAAGAAGGACGTTTTCGTGCCCGATGACAAGGAGGAGTTTGTCAAGGCCAAGATAACTTCCAGAGAGGGTGGCAAAGTCACCGCAGAAACAGAGAGGGGCAAGGTGCCTGCTTTTTGCCCCATGCCATAGTCTAACATTCCCCTTCCCAAAATATTTAGGAAGGAACAATAACCCAGAGTATCTTTCTCCAGATCCAAAGGAAACTTCTAGAACCTCCCAGTGCTCTGATTCTTCCACCCCAAACATGTCCACCATATTTTAAACAGCCTTCTCTGCCCTCAATTTGGTCCCCAAGACTAGCTGCGTGATGCCCTCCTTATCTTCCCCCAGGGAGTTCCCTTCTGTGCCCCCACACCCTCAGATTGCTAAGTTTTGGAGCAAAGGGAGGGGTCAGAGGGGGAAGATCTGTGGTAGATCTAACCCACTGAGAGGCTTGCTGCTTGGCTTTTGGCAGACGGTGACGGTGAAAGAAGACCTGATCATGCAGCAGAACCCGCCCAAGTTCGACAAGATCGAGGACATGGCGATGCTGACCTTCCTGCACGAACCGGCCGTCCTCTACAACCTGAAAGATCGCTACGGCGCTTGGATGATCTACGTAAGTATTTCTTCCATGCTCCAGCAACCAGAGCATTTCCGAGGCTGTTCACAAAGGGCCCTGCCTTAGTGTGGATGATGCCAGCCCGCAGCCGGATCTTTCAGGAGGATGAGGCTGCTGATAAGCCAGAACAGAAATGGAACCGTCTAGATCAAATTAACGATCGATCCCTCCCAGTGTTGCGTTTCCGACCGTGGGCAGGTGCCTCCAGCAAGCCTGCAGGTGGGGTGCAGTGGGTCGTTCAATCTCCTTTCTGCGACATCATCCTCAAGGTTCTTGTCCTCTGGGTGGTGCGGGAGGAATCATTCCAGTCAGGCACGAGGATCCGCTGGGTCTCTCACTCTCCCCTTCCTCTTCCCCTCCAGACCTATTCCGGGCTTTTCTGCGTGACCGTAAACCCCTACAAGTGGTTACCGGTCTACAACGCCGAGGTGGTTGCAGCCTACCGGGGGAAGAAACGGAGTGAAGCTCCTCCCCACATTTTCTCCATCTCGGACAATGCCTACCAGTACATGCTGACAGGTAGAGAAATGCCAAGTTTGGTCAAAACGGGGGCCATCAATGTGCAGGAAAGAAGACGGGTTGGCTACAGCTGGAGGGCCAGAATAGCGCTGTGTTATGTCTCTCTTAAGTTCTCTAGCTGGAATTCTCCCGTTGATTCACAAATAAATTGCTTTGTGCAGACCTCCTCTCATCTTTCGTGTTTCCTCTATTTGGTTCCCCCTTCTTTTGCCTTTTTTTTCTTTTCTTCTTCCTTGCTTTTCCATTCTGCCTTTAATCCTACTGTGCCCTCTCTTCTTCTCTTTAGATCGGGAAAACCAGTCTATTCTGATCACGTAAGTTTCTCCTCTTGCCGACTTCTGCAAAGTTCGGAAACTTCTTGCAGTACCACCGTTTCATCCAAGCCTTCTTCTTGGTCCCGTCTTTTCACTGCCTCCGCTGGCATCCATCCTGTCCCAACTGTTTCTCTGCCTCTTCCTTGGGTAGTCGCAATGGTCTAAAGCAGAGTAGAAAGAAATGTTTCTGGGTGCCAGATGGATCATGGAAGCTAACAGACAATTGTTCCTTTAATTTGTGGGTGATTCAGCTTCCGCATTCTGGGTGACCTCTTTGCAAAACAGCAGGAATGAGGCTCCTTTGCAGCACAAGCAGTGGACAAGCGGTTGTAGGACAAAATTACCTGTATGTGTGAGATCTGGAGTACCACAGAAGGCAGCAAATCTGTTAGATTTAATGTATTATCATCATTTACTGCCCAGAGGCAGGGTAGAACTTGTGTGTGCTTCCCCTCCGGTGCCACCACCTTGGGGACCCCGCAGCGGGGAGGTGGGGCAGAGCTCCCCCTTGATCACTCTGCCCCAGGGAGCAGGATGTTTCGGGCCAGTGCGGTGGGATGAATCGAGCGCGTTGCTTTGGATTCGGTGCGAATCATTCCGGGACTTTCCTGTGGAGGCAGAAAGGAAGGACCGGAAGGTCCCAACAAACAAGAGGAAGGGTCTTCCCTCCGTGCACAGACCCGCTCAGCAACCGTGTGCTTCTGCCCACAGTGGAGAATCCGGTGCAGGGAAGACGGTGAACACCAAAAGAGTCATCCAGTACTTCGCCGTCATCGCGGCCATCGGGGACCGGTTCAAAAAGGAACAGTCGGCAGCCACGGGGAAGGTGAGTCTCTCATTGAGCCGTACATCAGGGCTGAGAGGCAAGCGACTTGTTAGGCCAAGCAACGCCTTCCGCACACCTAGGACTACAACTCCCATCATCCCCAGTGACTCCCAGATGGGAGCTGTAGTCTGCGGCAGCAGGAGGGCATCAGGCTGTGAAAAAAAGTTGTGTTAAACACTCGAAGTTGTGACCACGTAAAGACACACACCCACCCCGGCCGTGACTGCGTAAGAAAACTCTCTAGATGGCCAGCAAAAGCTAGACGGGCTCCGAGTCATTCGGCAGTAGGAGGAGAAGCAGCTGTTGCCCGTCTTGATCCCCACATTCTCTCTCTCCACGGATCATCTTTCCGGCCCTCCAGGCACCCCCCTGCCCCAACTGCCCCCAGCCCCCTTCTAACGTTTCCCGTTGCCTGCAGGGGACGCTGGAAGATCAAATCATCCAAGCCAACCCGGCCCTGGAGGCCTTTGGCAACGCCAAGACCGTGCGGAACGACAACTCCTCCCGATTTGTGAGTGCCGCTGGTCGGAAACCGGAGCCTGGGAGGTGGGAGGGGAGCCGCATGCGGCTATGTCAGGGTCACATCTCCACCCCCCGCCTTCTCCTTCCTCCCTCAGGGTAAATTCATCCGGATCCATTTTGGGGCGACAGGGAAACTTGCATCAGCTGACATAGAGACCTGTGAGTGCCGCCGACCTGTGCTAAGCAAACGGTCGCTCACCCTCTGGCGCCCGGCCACCCCCCCCCAACTGCTCTGTCTCCTCTTGGCATTTCCTAGATCTCCTCGAGAAATCTCGGGTCATCTTCCAGCTCAAGGCTGAGAGGAACTACCATATTTACTACCAGATCTTGTCCAACAAGAAGCCAGAGCTCCTGGGTGAGCATTTCCTGATGAATTACTCCAAAGGATCGTCCACTCCAGTCTGGTCAGAGACCTCTTACCCTAACCCAGTGAAGGCGAACCTTTTAGAGACCGAGTGCCCAAACTGCAACCCAAAACCGACTTATTAATCTCAAAGTGCCAACATTACAATAAAACCTGCAAACTGAGGTTTCAGTTTAGAAAAAACAACTCGCCGCCAGCCCAAGGCAAATATATATATATATATCCTTGGCAGCGCACTGGCCATGCAAAAGCTCGATGAGTCACGGCTAATGAGTCGCGGCTTGTGACATCATCGCCTGGCGCCGCTACTCCTTTCCGACCATGCGCATGGCTCCTATGTGCACCGTTATCTGATGCGCGGCTGCTGGGGCGATGCTGGGGCGACTCGGCTCGCGTGCCGACAGAGAGGGCTCTGCATGCCCGCCGTGGCCCGCATGCCGGAGGTTCCCCACCGCTGCCCTAACGGATCAGAGTAAACAATGTAAATGTTCAGGCCTTCCACCGTTACATGCTGGGTTGTGCACCCAAATACCATATTTAACATACTTAAAATATTTGAGGCCTTAAATTTGCTCAAGGGGGAACTGGGTTTCTTGAAAACTTTGCTTATTCCAGGTTTCCCTCTCTTCTGTCTTGCTGGGAATGGAAAAACAACAGAATGGGAAATAAAATTGCCGAGGTCCTACTTTCCTTATACAAATCTGTGATGTGACCACACTTACAGTTGTGTACAGTTCTGGTTGCCGCACCTAAAAAAAAGCACATCATTGAGCTGGGAAAAGTGCAAAGAAAAGCAATCAGGAATGGAACAGCTGGAATTGTTTGGCTAGGAGGAGGGCAAGGATGGAGAGACATGATGGAGGAGCACAGAATCATGCATGCCGTGGAAAGAGCGCAGAGGGCGAATTTTTTCTCCCTCTTCCGTGAAGTGACTGGCGGGCGAGTCACGCAATGAATAGTTAAACCGTGGAATCCGCTTCTGCAAGATGGGCACCAGTCGGATGGGGATTAGGCGAATTCATGGAGCGGAAGCTCTCCGTGGCTGCTAGCCTTGCTGGCCCTGGGCGACCTCCGTTATCGGAGGCGCTGCGCCCGTGTGCCCCGGTGGCTGAGGAGCTTGGGCAAGGCGGAGGTCTGAGCCCGTCCTGCTGGAGGGACCCTGTGTGCAGTGGGGTTGCCACTGGGGGAACAGGCTGTTGGACTGAGTGGGCTTTGGTTGTTCTTCCCTCCCCTGCCTGAGTGGGGTTGAACCGAGTGTTCCTTTGACAGTTTTCATGGGTGGGATCTGTCCCACCCGCTGAGGCTCCTGGGGTGAGACTTGCTGGATCAACGCCTGTCTGGACACTTGTCCGGTCAGCGTGAGTTCCGTTTCGTCTGCATTTTGACCAGTCCTGCTGGGCTGGTGCCATCCTGGTTGTCCAGCCATAGAAGAACTGGTTAGCAAGGGACCTTCTCTCTGTCTTCATTCCTGACCTGCTCAACTATTCCTTCCCCTTCCTTCCCAGACATGATGTTGGTTACCAACAACCCCTATGACTACGCCTTCATCTCCCAAGGAGAGACCACCGTCCCATCCATCGATGATGCCGAGGAGCTGCTGGCAACCGATGTGAGTCCTGCACAGGGGATGATGGTCTGCGCTGAGCGACTTATGAACGACCCACCTCCGTGGTGGCCTGGTCAGTACAAATCTCAGTTCCATTTCTCCAAACACAGAGTGCCTTTGACATCTTGGGCTTCACCCAGGAGGAAAAGAACTCCATCTACAAGTTGACGGGCGCCATCATGCACTTCGGAAATATGAAATTTAAGCAGAAGCAACGTGAAGAACAGGCTGAGCCCGATGGCACTGAAGGTGAAAATACCATGTTTCTTCGTGGGGGAAATCAGGGAAGGGCAGGATGGAGGTTATGTCCCGTGCGTGAACAGAGTGCAGATCACGCTGCTGGCCAGTTCTGGTGGTCCACCTCATATCAGCAGAGTGTTGAAGACATCATCAAAACTTTCCAGACTAGAGGGACACTTTACCTAATCCAGCAAACTGAACAAAGGTCTCTTGTTCCCGTAAACCAGGGGTGCCGTATTTCATACCCCAGGATCAAATCCGGCCCTAATAGGTCTCCTTACAGTCACACCTCCATGTCCTGAAACGCATTTGGTGGTTTTCTAACAGTTGTGCTGTTCTTTCCCCATTCTAAAAACCAGAAATGCCTCCCTTAAAAATTAATTAAAGGCCATAAGAGCTCAGTGCTAAAACCTGCTGGTCGGCCTTTGAACGTCGGGCCCCTTCCATCTCGCTCTTGGCTGCACCAGCACCGCAATACATTCCGCAAGAGCTTTTCCAAAGCAGAAGACGGCCTCCCGTCTCCAAGAAGCTCCACGCTCTTGCCTTAAGCAACTTGGCCCATCCTCCCTGCTTTTCTCCATGCATGGACCCGATCCCCGAAGTTGCATATGGTGCCACCTGCATCCCTTCCTTCAGATCTAGGTCTCCCCACTGGCCTTTGCCATGTCTTCCTCACTGACTTTCCAGTGTGTCTGCCCTCCTTCTGTCCCAGGATGGCAAGATTTCCTCTCAAGGTGTTTTCTCGCTCTACCTTGACAGAAGCCGACAAGTCGGCCTACCTGATGGGGCTGAACTCCGCAGACCTCCTCAAGGGACTCTGCCACCCAAGGGTCAAAGTGGGCAACGAGTACGTCACCAAAGGGCAGAATGTCCAGCAGGTGAGCACCTGGTCTGAGGCGGGGCCGTCGGACGCCCTCCCAACGCCTTGAAGTGAGAAGGTTGGCCACGTGGCCTTCCTCTGATCGAAGGGCAGCCCAGGGCCCTCCAAGAACCAAACGAACAGCTGCCCATCAGAGGGTGCGTTCCAAGAACAAGTCTATTCAAATGAGAAGAATTCTCATCTGCGCATATACATGAGCATTATGCAAATGCTGTAGACAAGGACATCCTCTTTATCCTTCTTTTTTGGTGATGCTTTCCCTGCTTTTTCCTTTTTCGATGGTTCATATGAAGCCGTGCTAGGAAGGAACCCAATTTTGAAACCGAGTCGCATTTTGCAGTCGGGAAGGGACGTGTCCTTTTCGTCAAGGTTTGAAGGCCACGTTCAGCCATGCACATGGACATCTCCACTTCCTCCTCTCGATTCCTAGAGTTTACTTGTAACTCCTCTTGAGAAACCAGAGAAGGATCCAGGTGCATCTCTTCCCACACAACCCTCTCGCCTTTTCTGAACAGGTGTGCTATTCTACCGGGGCCCTGGCCAAGGCCGTCTATGAGAAGATGTTCAGCTGGATGGTCATGAGAATCAACAGCACCCTGGAAACCAAGCTGCCGCGGCAATATTTCATCGGGGTGTTGGACATCGCTGGTTTTGAGATCTTTGATGTGAGTAGGTCCTCCATGGAACACGCATTCTGCCTGGCTTATGGGAGGATGGTCCTGGCAGGCACTGCCCAACGCTGGGTAAGGTGGCCTCCAGGGGACCAAAGGCCACCTTGTCCGTCCATCCACCCACCCACCTGTCTGTCCACACATGGCCCTATGAAAATAGACCCTGGGCTTGCTTCCAGAAAGGCGCTGTGGGTCGCAGGGCCCTGGGGAAGTGCTCTCTGCCCAGAGGACTGGTTTCCGGGGGGTCCGCCTCTCCAGGGGTGGTCTGGCTCACAGGAGTGTCCTTTCATTCCCCGCGCGCCAGTTCAACAGCTTCGAGCAGCTCTGCATCAACTTCACGAACGAGAAGCTCCAGCAGTTCTTCAACCACCACATGTTCGTGCTGGAGCAGGAGGAGTACAAGAAGGAGGGCATCGAATGGGTCTTCATCGACTTTGGCATGGACCTGCAGGCCTGCATCGACCTCATCGAGAAGGTTCTTCCCTCCCTCCCTCCCTCCCTCTCGTACACACGCGCAGAAATAGTTCCTCTTTGTTGATGTGTAGCGTAAGGCAAGTGCCCCCTGGAGCATCTGTGGGGTGATGGCCGATTGGGGGCCACAGAGAGCAAGGATGGCTCTCAGGCCCATGGTTCAGTGGTCCGTGGAAGGTCTGTGCCCCATTCACTCACATCCCACCCTGATGTATGGACCCACATGCCTCCACATTTGGACTGGACGTGAAGGTCCACCTTGCTCTCTTTCGAAGGCTGCCAAGAATGGTTTTCGGGAACATCCCCGGTCTGGGGGAGCTACCGAGCGGGGTTGCCCCTTCAGGAGGTGACGCCCTGGCTCCTCTTCCACAGCCGATGGGCATCATGTCCATCCTGGAGGAGGAGTGCATGTTCCCGAAGGCCACGGACATGACCTTCAAGGCCAAGCTGTTCGACAACCACCTGGGCAAGTCGGCCAACTTTGGGAAACCCCGAAATATCAAGGGCAAACCGGAGGCCCACTTCTCCCTCATACATTATGCCGGCACCGTGGACTACAACATCATCGGCTGGCTGCAGAAGAACAAGGACCCACTCAACGAGACGGTGGTGGGGCTCTACCAGAAGTCGGCCCTGAAGCTGCTGGCAAACCTTTTCGCCAACTACGCCGGAGCAGATGCACGTAAGGGAGAGGACGCGGGTGCACGCGTGGGCGTCTTCGGAACAGGAAACCGGCTGCGCGCGTTGTGGGCGTAATTTTTTTAACGGATTAGCTGCCGATGGCCGCTCCCCCGGTGTGCCGCTTGGGCGCTCTGGGGGGCTGTCAGTGGCTGACAAGATGGGGATTGGGCAAGTTGGCCATTGCGGCAGAGATTATAATCTCTGGGGAATAAGAAGATTAAAGGGAGGGAAAGCCCTCATGAGTGAGGCCACGGGTCCCCTGGCTATCCGAAGGAAGTCCCGAGTGGGGAGGAAGATGAGGGTAGGACCAAGCAACCGCTCGCCTGTTGGGGGCATCATGGTTTGTTTGGTTCATTCCCTGGGGGGGGGGTTAGCATGATGTCAAAATGAGCCTACCAAGTCCAGTCCAGCCCATGGGACGGGAGGGAACCCAAAGGCCTTGGCAAAACTCACCAGCCATATCGTCTGGCATCTTACCTGACTCTGGTAAAGTCCCCCGGATATTTTGGGCTTCGGCTCCCACCCACCTCGATAAGTATGGGCGGCGGTTGGGTATGGTGGCAGCTGTCATTCCAAACATCTGGAGAACTCCAGACTGGGGAAGATGTGCTATGGTGTGGTGTCAGGAGAGGGTTGGACTGACGTGGATGCCTTTCTGAAACCTGGCCTGCCTCGCAGGCTTGTTGTGAGGTGAGACGGGGCAGGGCGAATTAGGTTTGCACCCTGAACCTGCAGAGGAATTAACAGGGAGACCTGGCAGCTCCTTACACGGAAGGGTGCCGCTTCTGCCTCTGGCCCCCCCAATTACAAGCACCCCACTGAGGCACCAGAGAGCTTCTGCGACTTGCAATAGGTAATTTTGAAGCAGGTGAAGAACTGCAAGATAAAACTCCCCGTGTCTCCCTGATCCGGTCAAGGCAGGTGATTGTTTATAAGTAAAACATAGAAACAGAGCGAGTCAGAAGGGGGCTCCCGGGCCATCTAGTCTGACCTCCGGCACCAGTCAGCTCTGCTCACGACATGCCCACCATCTGCACGTCCAGCCTATCTTTGAACACCCGCACCGATGGGGCCTCAACGACCTCTCGTGGAAGCCCATTCCACACCCTCGGGTTCCTAACTGTCAGGAAGTGCTTCCTGGCATCTAAATTGAACCTTGGCTCCCTGAGCTTTGCTCCGTTGGAGCGCGTCCTGCCTTCCTCTGCAGGGGAGAACAGGTCTCTACCCATCTCTATGCGACACCCCCTCACATACCTGAGTGTCGCCAACATATCCCCTCTGAGTCTCCTCCAGGCTGAAGAGACCCAGTTCCCGCAGTCTCGCCTCAGATGGCTTCCCCTGCAAACCGGCCACCAACCTTGTGGCCCTACGCTGCACTGACTCCAACCTGGCTATATCCTTCCTGTAATGAGGGGCCCAAAACTGAGCACAATACTCCAGTTGCAGACGCACCAGAGTCGTATGGAGTGGCAGCAATACCTCTCTCGATCTAGAAGCTCGAGAAATGATGACCCAGAAGTGGCTGCCTCTAGACGTGTTGGAGTACAGCTCCCCTGGTTCCACTGGCTGGGAATGATGGGGGTTGACCTCAGACTCATCTGGAGGGCAGTGCAGTGGGGAAGGCTGTGCTGACCCACGAGGCCCGAAGTGGGTCTCCTGTCTCATTGTCTCTCTCCCCACCCACTCGGCAGCCATCGAAACCACAAAGGGGAAGGGGACTCACAAGAAGAAGGGCTCCTCCTTCCAGACCGTGTCTGCTTTGCACAGGGTAAGGAGAAAGCAAGGCATGCTTGGTTGCAGGGAACCCCGGCCGCCTCAGGGGGCTCCCTCGGCTACGGCGGGCACGGCGCCCTCTGGCTGCCCCCATCCCTTTCCTCGGAGGGCCTGCCGCCTCCTGCCGTGCCATCTGCTGGCCTCACCCCCAGAATGGATGGCACTTCCTTGCTGCAGGGGGCGCTGACTCCCTCCAGGGGTACCATTTCCCAGTGGGGGTCTGTCCGCATCCCCCATTCTGCCAGCATCTGGAAAGGAACAGGAAGGCAAGAACGAGGGGGGAGCGCGCCAGGTGAGCAGGAGAGCTTTCCGGCAAGGGCTCTCGGACGCCCAAACCGCATTCAAGCCCCGAGCTCCCATTCTGTGAAGACCCCTGACAAATTGTGCAGTTAGAACCACGCTGGTCACTGCATCTTTCCTCTGCTGAGTTATTTTCCTGCCTTCTTCCTCCTCTTTCAGTTTGTCGCCTTCCTTTCTCGTTCTGTCAAATGTACTTTTCTCCGTTTCTCCACCTGCTCCCTGTCTTCTTTCTGTTTATCCACCACTCCCAACTTCTCTCTTCGTTTTGTCCCGGCACTCATCCTTCCGCCCCTTCCCGCCAGCCGGCTCTGCGCCGTCGTCAGCCTCGTTCCTCCGTTTGCACCCGTCCTGGCCCGCCCACACTTCTTTAATTTGCTCCCCCAGGAGAACCTCAACAAGCTGATGACCAACCTGCGTTCCACCCACCCTCACTTCGTGCGCTGCATCATCCCCAACGAGACCAAGTCTCCAGGTGCGCCCCCAGGGCCCCCCTTCCGGTGTTTCGTGGGCACTTGGATTCCCTGCAGCCTTCCCTTAACTCTCCGGCCAGAGGATTCTCGGGCGGAGGACAGACCCTCGGAATCCCCAGTCAGTCGAAAAGCAAGGCAGCAGGTGCTGCTGGGGTGGGCCTGGGGGCACAGGTCCCAGCCCTTCTGCAGCCCAGGGGGTCCCCAAAGGTGCCCCAAGGCTTGGCAGCTAAGCTCACATACCACGGAATCCCAGAGAATGAGAGCGAGAGAGAAAGAGAGAGAGAATGAGATAGAGAGAGAGAATGAGAGAGAGAAGAGAATGAGAGAGCGAATGAGAGAGAGAGAGAATGAGAGAGAGAATGAGATAGAGAAGAGAATGAGAGAGCGAATGAGAGAGTGAGAGAAAGAGAGAGAAATGAGAGAGAGAGAGAATAAGAGAGAGAGAATGAGAGAGTGAGAGAAAGAAAGAGAGAGAAATGAGAGAGAGAGAGAATGAGAGAGAGAGAGGGAGAATGAGAGAGAGAGAATGAGAGAGAGAGAGAGAGAATGAGAGAGAGAGAGAGAGAATGAGAGAGAGAGAGATCAATCAGCCTTCCTCAGCCAGGTGCACCAATGACTGGGGGTGGTGGGAGTTGTAGTCCCCCACCCTAAGGTGGAGCTAGGTTGGGAACACCTGCCTTACCCTCTCGTTGGTACCTTTGTGATAATGACTGGCGCCTTCCCTTCGCACGCTCCCTCCTCCGACCTTCCTCTCCTCTCGTCCGCAGGCGTGATGGACAACCCCCTGGTCATGCACCAGCTGCGCTGCAACGGGGTCCTGGAGGGGATCCGGATCTGCCGGAAGGGATTCCCCAACCGGATCCTCTACGGGGACTTCAGGCAGAGGTGGGCTTGTCCCTCAGTTCCTGGGGTGGGGTGGCTGTCTGATAATGCTGCAGGGAAGCTCGGGGAAAGGCACACACCTGTGGGGAAGCCCCGGGGCACCGTGGGGCAGTGTTTGGGGCATCGCCTGCGCTGCAGCTGGGCACCAGGGTGACGCTTTCTTGGCTCCAAGGTAAAGTGACTCCAGCCCCATTTCTGCATTCCTTCGTCTTGAATTCTTTCATCTTTGTGAGAGAGGACTTGGGAAGGAATAAGATACCACGGGGAATGCAGGCTCCACAGCAGATAGCTCTTAGCTGTTCCCACCCAACCTCCTTCTATAGCACCTGGGATCTCCCCAGGCACGGACTACAGCTTTCCAAGCTTATCTTCACAATCACAAGGACTAGAAACTTGGTTTTAAAGGAAAACACAGAGAGAGAGGGATAAAAAAAATGGAGGCTCTCAGGATCCGGGTGCCCTACCTCAACCAGTCATGAAACATGCATGGCCCTGGGCTTCAGTGGGGCTAGCAGCCATGGCAAAAACATGCCGAAGAGAAGCTTTCAGAAGTATTGAATGCCCTTACCTTTCTTGTTTCCAGGTACCGCATCCTGAACCCATCTGCCATCCCCGAGGGCCAGTTCATCGACAGCAGGAAGGGAGCTGAGAAGCTGTTGAGCTCCCTGGATATCGACCACAGCCAGTACAAATTTGGGCATACCAAGGTGAGGAGGAAGAGAAGCCAGTGCAAGCCCCTTGCCCAGGAAACAGTCATGTCTCTCGCCGCATTCTGCTCACACTGAGGACTAGAAGCACAGATGCCTTTAAATCAAGGCCCCTCTCTCTGCTGCTCAGGTGTTCTTCAAGGCCGGTCTCCTGGGGTTGCTGGAGGAGATGAGAGATGAGCGTCTCTCCCGCATCATCACACGCATCCAAGCTCAGTCCCGCGGTGTTCTCGCTCGGATAGAATTCCGGAAGATCATGGAACGGAAGTAGGTGTTTGTGGGTGTCACTGGGGAAGCTCCCCTCCGAAGGGGACAATCATCCCCTGAGGAGCAAGGCCCCTGGAAGCCTCTGCTTCAGCAGTCCCTGGCCAGCCCTCTGCAGTCCCTTTTCATCTCAGCAGATATTTTGGATGGCATAAGGGCAAGAGCGTTGGGCGGAGACGTGGGAGATCCCAGTTCTGGTCCCACTCACCCGTCCTAAGATCTTGCCAGCACATAGTACCGAGTTTGTATGCACGGCCTGAAAGACTAGAGAACTTGAAGACGGTCCGGATACGTCAATTGGTTCAAAATAGAGCTGCCAGGCTGCTGACAGGGACGGGGCGTTATGCTCACATGACTCCAGTCCTCCGTCAGCTTCACTGGCTCCCCATTGAAGTCCGGGCCCAATTCAAGGTGTTGGTGATGACCTATAAAGCCCTAAACGGCTTGGGTCCTGGTTACCTGAAGGAGCGCTTATGTCCATATATGCCCACCTGCCCCTTGAGATCTGCGGGAGAGGCCCTTCTCCGGGAACCCTCCTTCAAGGAAATTAGGAGGGTGAGTACCCAGAGGAGGGCTTTCTCTGTGGTGGCACCCAATCTATGGAATGCGCTCCCCAGAGAGGTCCGCCTGGCGCCGTCATTATTTGTTTTTCGGCACCAGGCGAAGACCTTTTTATTCAAATGTCATTTTAATTGTTAATAGTATTTATTTATTTTATTCTTTGGCCAGGGCGACTTAATTTATACTGTTAATTTATATTATTTATTGAGTTTATGATGGTTGTGAGCCGCTCCGAGGCTTCGGCGAATGAGGCGGCATATAAATCTCCTAAATAAATAAATAAACCTATGAAAGAGGTTCTTAGGAAGCCGAATTCTCCACTGCCAACGTCAAGTTTCCTTGAAAAAAGGGGTGATATTGTAGAGTTGGAAGAAGTGGCAACAGAGACACAAAAGTGATCAAAGAGCTGGCGCAAATCCACTATCAGGAAAGGGTGTGACTCCTGAGACTGTTTGCTTTAGGAAAAATAAGTGAGGGAGGTGCACCTCAGAAGTGCACAACATTGTGCTGGGCATGGAGAAAGAGGATGGGGGGCCCATTTTTCTCCCTCTCCCAGAATATCGGACCCCAGTAGGGTCATCCCATGAAGCAGATAGGTGGAAGATTCGGGGGGACGGGGGGACGGGAGGACGTCTTCATATTGTGCACAGTTAAACTGTGGAATTCCCTGCCACAAGATGCAGCGTTGGCCACCAGTCTGGATGGGCAAATTCCTGGAGGGAAAAGCTATTCGTGGCTACTAGTCCTCATGGTTCTGTGCTTCCTCCTCTGCACACCAGTTGCTGGGGGACACAAGTAGGAGGGTGTACCCGTGACCTGGTCTGATGTTTTCCTTTGTTGCCATCCTCTTCACAGGGAATCTCTGCTGGTGATTCAGTACAACATTCGGGCCTTTATGGTAGTGAAGAATTGGCCTTGGATGAGGCTGTTCTTCAAGATCAAGCCCCTGCTGAAGAGTGCGGAGACAGAGAAGGAGATGTTGGCCATGAAGGAGGAGTTTGGCAAGCTGAAGGAGGCCCTGGAGAAGTCAGAGGCTCGGCGGAAAGAGTTGGAAGAGAAGATGGTCTCCTTGCTTCAGGAGAAGAACGACCTCCAGCTGCAAGTTCAGGCCGTGAGTGATGGCACAACCTTGGGATTCTGCCAGTGTTAGCACTTGGGGTCCATGTTTTTATCTCCGTATTGTCTGAGCTCCGCTAAGAGTGAAGCACATGGCACCAGAAGCAGAACGAACTCAGGTGGGTCAAGGCTTAGGTGTCACGGTCGTCTCATTTTTTCAATGCCCTCCTTAGGAGCAAGACAATCTTGCTGATGCGGAAGAGCGCTGCGACCAGCTGATCAAGAACAAAATCCAGCTGGAGGCCAAAGCCAAGGAACTGAACGAGCGTCTGGAAGATGAGGAGGAGATGAACGCCGAGCTGACGGCCAAGAAGCGGAAGCTGGAGGACGAGTGTTCGGAGCTCAAGAAGGACATTGACGACCTGGAGCTGACCCTGGCGAAGGTGGAGAAGGAGAAGCACGCCACGGAGAACAAGGTAAGGGTGGGGAAAGGCAGGCAGAGTTAGAGGATAGTCCAAGATTGCCCTCCTTAAGCAGTCCGAGGTGTTGTGTTGACATTGGCCTGGTTGGATGAGGATCTGCTCGGTAGGTTGACCTTGGGAATATTCCACTGAGTGGACCCAGAATTTGCTTTGGAAGCCTCCAGAGTTCCTTCAGGCCACCACTCTGCACAAGTTTTGATGGATAACAGTCCCACAACTCCAAGCATAGGTCCAGTGAGGTCTAGGGTCCCTGACGCAAACCCCAATGTGGCCACAGGTGAAGAACCTCACCGAGGAGATGGCCGGCCTGGATGAGATCATCGTCAAGCTGACCAAGGAGAAGAAGGCCCTCCAGGAGGCACACCAGCAAGCGCTGGATGACCTGCAGGCCGAGGAAGACAAGGTCAACACCCTCACAAAGGCCAAGGTCAAGCTGGAGCAGCAGGTGGATGATGTGAGTACCTGGGCATGCCAGGTGGGCCGTTGTCACGGAAGGTGCAGAGGTTACTGAAGCAGGTGTTGCTTCTGGGCTTGACCTCTTCCTTACTTGGCGCAACAGCTGGAGGGCTCCTTGGAGCAAGAGAAGAAGATCCGAATGGACCTGGAGCGGGCGAAGAGGAAGCTGGAGGGCGACCTGAAGCTGACCCAAGAGAGTATCATGGACCTGGAGAATGACAAGCAGCAGCTGGAAGAGAAACTGAAGAAGTAAGGGGTGGTTTGTTGCTTTTTTAGAATAAGTTTTATTCAGAATTATAACCCTAAAACAAAGAACAACTAAAAACGACATCAGTCATCAGAAACATCGGACCTGCTGGGTCAGTCCCCACATTTTTTTCCATTTATGATAACTTAGAAACAGATTTAAATCTATACGAAGTCCCGTTTCTCTAGCCAATAATAAAAAGAGTCCCAAGTTTGACAGAAATCAGCATCTTCTTTCTCCTTCAATGACAAAGTCAACCTGTCCGTTTCTGCACAGTCCAAGATCTTGGGGATGGTTGAACTTGCACTGAGCAGGGGGTGGGACCCAACGGCCCCCTGGCCCCAACGCTTCCATTCTGTGATTCTGAGGTCCTGAGAACGGTGCCTCCCCCTTTCCCCACCTCGGCCCTGCTTGTTCTGCCTCCCCATGGCTGAATCCAACCAGGTCCTTGTCTTCCACAGGAAAGACTTCGAGCTCAATGCCTTGAATGCCAGAATTGAAGATGAACAATCCCTGAGCATCCAGCTGCAGAAGAAGCTCAAAGAGCTACAGGTGAAAGGCTGATTGCAAGGATATATAGCATCTCGAACATCCTGAATTCTAAAATCTGGGCTGATGTGAGGTCTAGAACACAACATTTTGGGGTCGCATCCAGCTCAACCTTCTCTACTCTGGTCCTTCATAGACAGAGGATAACTTTCATAATTGTCATCCAGAAGGTACCAGGTTGGAGAAGTCTGGTTTCGCTGGTCTGATGGATATTATTTCTCTAGAAACGAGTCTTCCTCTGCCTTTTAGTAAGCACCTCCTGCTCGTAACAGATATTTTTATACCTTGCTAAGGATGGGCTTCCTTTCGCTCTCTCTGGTGCAGGCACGGATCGAAGAGCTGGAAGAAGAGCTGGAGGCCGAGCGCACGTCCCGGGCCAAGGTGGAGAAGCAGCGCGCCGAGCTCTCACGGGAGCTGGAAGAGATCAGCGAGCGCCTGGAGGAGGCCGGGGGTGCCACCTCGGTGCAGATTGAGCTCAACAAGAAACGGGAGGCCGAGTTCCAGAAGATGCGGCGCGACCTGGAGGAGGCGACGCTCCACCACGAGGCCACGGCGGCCACGCTCCGCAAGAAGCACGCCGACTCCGCGGCGGAGCTGGGCGAGCAGATTGACAACCTGCAGCGCGTGAAGCAGAAGCTGGAGAAGGAGAAGAGCGAGCTGAAGTTGGAGCTGGACGACGTGGCCTCCAACATGGAGCAGCTGATGAAGTCCAAGGTGCCCTCATGGGTGGGGGAGGCGGAGCTAAATCTGGGGCAGAGCAAGGAAGAAGACTTGAGGATAGAGCTTAACTCAGCTGTGGCATTAATAGACATTTTAAGAGAGGATTAGGGGTTTGGGGAAGACACATGCTTGCAAAGGGGTTGTAGCCGGCACCCCGAAAATATACTCCCCCTGTGCCTGGCTGTCTTCTCCTTTTGCTTCTTCATTCTTAAACATTTTCCGTAGTTTTCCTCAGTTCCTTGCTCTCCCCCTCATCCTTCCCATCTTCATCTTTTTCTTTCCCCTAACTGTCTAAACACCTGTTGTCTTCCCCACTCGCCCGCTTTGGTTTTGCCAACGCCGTCCTCTCCTCCTTGGATTTCAGGCCAACCTGGAGAAAATGTGCCGCACCTTTGAAGATCAAATGAACGAGCACCGGACCAAGGCTGAAGAGTCTCAGCGAATGGTGCACGACCTCACCACCCAGCGAGCCAAGCTGCAGACGGAGAACGGTGAGGGAGCGGATCCTGCCGCCTGTTCCATCCACAGGGAGGTCGGGGGCTGCCTCACCCCGGCCCAGCCCCTTGCTCCATCCAGCCCAGCCTGGGGATGTTGGGAACCGAGCAAAGCAGAGCAAGGCCGAGCCGTGGCCCCTTTCCTTGCAGCTCCCTAGTTTGCCGGTGACTTGTGAGCTCTTCCTTACTCCCATCCAATCCAAACTCTGTGCCAGGGGTCCACCCCAAGTGTGTCTGATGGTCCACTGGCCACCAGCCTCTGCCAAACGAAAAGGCAAGGAGGAAACCAACACTCTAGGACCAAGTTCTGATTCACAGAATCATAAAATCCTAGATTAATAGAGTTGGAAGGGGCCAAGGAGGCCATCTAGTCCAGCCCCCTGCTGTTGCAGGACACCACGTTACACCACCCCACTCAGATGTCTGTTCAGCTTCTTTTTGAATGTCCCCAGTGTGGGAGAGCCCCTCACCTCTCCAGGCAGCTGGTCCCACTGTCCTCTTGCTCAGACAGTGAGGAAGCTTTTCCTGATGTCCAGCCTGAATCTGGGTTGTTGCAGCTTGAATTGATTATTCCATGTCCTGCACTCTTGGCATCAGCAAGAAGCGATCGTGACCTTCCTCTTTGTGACACCCTTTGAGGTACTTACACAGTGCTACCATGTCCCCCTCAGTCTTCTCTTCTCAAGGCTGAACACATCCAGTTCATTCAGTCTCTCCTCATAGAGCAGTGTTTCCAAACGCTGAATCATTTTTGCTGCCCTTCGCTGGACCCTTTCTAATTTACCTGCATCTTTCTTAAATCTTGGTGTCCAGAACTGGACACGATATTCCAGATGTGGTCTGACTAGTGAGGAGTATAGAGAAACTACTACTTCTCATGATCTGGAAGTAATTCTGTTAATGCATCCCAAAATGGCATTTGCCCTTTTGGCGGCTGCATCACATTGTTGGCTCATGTTTAGCCTATTGTCCACAATTACTCCAAGATCTTTTTCTTTTTCAGTTCTGTTGAGCCGCGTATTCCCCATCCTGTATCGATGAATTTGGATCCTTTTTCCTAGGTGGAGGACTTGTCCCTATTTCTGTTGCTTTCAGCCTAGTGTTCAAGTTTTATCAAGATCGCCCTAGGTCTCCATTCTGTCTTCTAGGATGTTCGCTATTCCACCCAGTTTTGTATCGTCTGTAGACTTGATTATCTTTCCTTGTCCTTCCTTATTTAAATCATCAATAAAGAGTTTGAAGAGCACTGGGCCCAGGACTGAATTCTGTGGCACTCCACTAGTTACCTCCATCCAGTTTGAGAAGGTGCCAATGAGGAGAAATCTTTGTGTCCAATTTAGCAGCAATTTTGGATCCACCTTATAGTTTTTCTATCTAGTCCACTTTTTGCTAATTTGCTCATCAGAATGTCATTGGGCACTATATCAAAATCTTTGCTAAAGTTGAGGTAGATTATGTTCACGGTGATCTCTCTGTCATTTAGGTAGGTTACCCAGTCAAAAAAAGAGATTAAATTAGCCTGACAGGATTTATTTTTGATAAATCAGTGTTGACTTCTATTAATCACTGCATTTTCTTCAAGATGTTTGCAGACTGAATTTTTAATAATTTCCTCCAGAGTTTTACAGGTGTTGATGTCAGACTAATGGTCTGTAGTTCCAAGGTTCATCTTGTTCCTCCTTTTTTAAGATAGGGGCACTGTTAGCCCTTCTCATCTGGCACTTCTACCGTTTTCCATGATTTATCCAAAATAATAACCTGTGGTTCTGAGAGTTCCTTAGCTATCTCTTTTATGACACTAGGATGGCATAGATTGGGTCCTGGAGATTGGAACATGTTTATTCCATCTAGGAATTCCTTTGTCCGTCGGTTGTGGGATGCCACCGCTCACTTCCAGCTTGTACTTCCTCTTTGTTGTAGATTTTCTTGTGGGAGATGCCCCAGGCGAAGTAGGAACGGAGCACCTCCACTTTTTCTTTCCTTGTCGTCTGTTATCACTCCGCCATCCAGTTTACCTAGTGAGACGCCCTTCCCTTTCTCACGTCTTTTGTTCTGGATGTCTCTGAAGGAGGCTTCCTTGTTGTGCTTAGCAATAGCCTCCCTTGCTGTTCTCAGTTCATCTCCTGCTTTAGCCTTCCTGATGCAATTCCTGCCACTCCTCGCTATTTGTTTATATTCCTCCTTTGTGGCCTGACCCTGCTTCCACCTCCTGTACATGTTCTTTTTTCCTTTTAGGTTGTCACTTAACTTTCTGTGGAGCCACATGGGCTTCCTCTGTTGTCTTCTGCTCTCTATTGTCCTCTACATTCCTGCCATAGAAGCCCTGTTCCTAGAGTGTCCCTGGAGCATCCGAAGAAGCAGTGCCTGACCGCTCCTGCTGGCTTCCCAGGATGCTCTGGAGATGTTCTAGCAAACCACAGAGCCTGTGCCTAGAGGGGCTTTTCTTCTCCTTTTCGGGAATGGGGCTGGGGTGGCTGAGGACGGGAGCGGGTTTCAAAACCTTGATGCTGTGGCACGGAAGAGATGCTGTTGGGCAAGAATGGGATGCGTTAGTGCTGCGTGTGAGCATGGAAGTGGGGTGAGAATGTGTGTGAGGGGGGCTTGCATGAAGGATGCGGGGGGCCATCCCTCACTGCACGCCCCGTTTAGTCCTTGGGGCCAAAAAGGTTGGGTACCCCTGACCTGTGCTTTCCTTCCTCCATAGCGTTCCTTCCCTCTTCCCATATCCCACCTACACTTTCCTTCCTTCTTTCAAAGTGATTGTCCAGACAGTCGTCAGTCATTTCCAAGCAGAAGTTATATTTTAATCATATATCATTGAATCATTTAATGCATAGTCTGGACCATCCTCTATCAGCAAATTTCCCCACCATAAACATCATATTAAAAGACTCTGCTGCCAACCCATTTCGATAAAACACAGACCACAACATCTTGGATGGGTCTTTGATGGCTCCCATTTGGAAAATTTGTACCAAGGGGAGATCCACAGGGATAGAGAACTGGTGGTTGGAGGGATCCCTTTGCAGTCTTTTCAAAATGGCGACCAACCCGGAGGAAAAGGAGAGCCATAAACAGCTCCGCCTTAGAAGCGATGTGACGCTTCCCAGGCTTCCTCTGCCTCACCGTGACAGACTCTTTTCCTTCCCAGGGGAATTATCTCGCCAGTTGGATGAGAAGGAGGCATTGATAAACCAGCTCACACGGGGGAAATTGACTTACACCCAACAGTTGGAAGACCTGAAGAGGCAACTGGAGGAAGAAGCCAAAGTAAGAAGTCCATGGAGGTTGCGGACCAGGAGTGGGGAATCAAGAGCGTGCAGAGAGCAAATTAGATTCTGCAGATTGAGGGCTCCTGAGAACGTGTGTTTGTTTGGGTCCCCTTAGGCCAAGAACGCTTTGGCCCATGCGCTCCAGTCGGCCCGCCATGACTGCGACCTCCTGCGGGAGCAGTACGAGGAGGAGACGGAGGCCAAGGCGGAGCTGCAGCGCCACCTCTCCAAGGCCAACTCCGAGGTGGCACAGTGGAGGACCAAGTACGAGACCGACGCCATCCAGAGGACGGAGGAGCTGGAGGAGGCCAAGTGAGTGCCCATTTCTGCCGCCATCGCATCTTGCAGCCAGAGCAACCCCACCCCTGCCGCCTCACCCTTCCCCAACATTTTCCTTCCCTTTCCATCCCCCCAGCAAGCCACAGGACCTGAGGCTGTTTCACCCCCATGGCAGTGGTGGTGTAGTGGAACCGGGACTCGCAGGGTCAAAGCACCGGGACCTTCTGACTCGCAGGGTTGATGCCCTCAACCCACACCCTCACTCAGGCTTCCTTGTTCTGCCTTAGCAAAGCTCTCACAGGAATTGTGGGAAAATGGGCTTTCCCAGCAGCGGTATTTCCTTCCCCAGTATCCTTGGTATAACGTGAAAATCTTGGGGGAGGCTTGGTGCTGAATAGACAATTAAGACCCAGCAGGCTTGGTTTCTCCTTGTATTTCTGGGTTTCTTGGCTTCTCCTTGTAGGTGTTTCTGTCCCTGCCACAATGAGTATCCGCACTTCAAAATTCACCAGTACACTGCAAGACCCTTACTCCTCATTCTCTTTTGTCTCCTGGAGGTGTCCTACCTCTTCCTTCCTTGGCTTACTGTTGTCTCCTTGTGGTGTGCCAGGAAGAAGCTGGCGCAGCGGCTGCAGGACGCCGAGGAGGCGGTGGAGGCCGTGAACGCCAAGTGCTCCTCGCTGGAGAAGACCAAGCACCGGCTGCAGAACGAGATCGAAGACCTCATGGTGGACGTGGAGCGCTCCAACGCGGCCGCCGCCGCCCTGGACAAGAAGCAGAGGAACTTCGACAAGGTACGACAGGCTGAGGAGAAGTGAGAGATCATTTCTGGCAGTTGGCCGCCATGGGCCAGTGCTGGTCAAAGAAGGCCTTTGAGGCCTCCTTCATGGCACAAAGGCAGAAGAGCGTAGTGGGAGAGAAAGCAGAGAACCCAGCTGTGTTGGAGAAAGTCTCCGGTTCTCGGGCTGAGAGATCTTGGGTAGTTGGAGATTTCCAGCATCTCAAGAGTGTGGTGTAGTGGTTAAGAGCATGGGACTGGGACTCAGACGATCTTGGTTCTAGTCCCCGCTCGGCCATGGAGCCAACTGGGTGACTCTGGGCCAGTCACAGACTCTCAGCCCAACCTACCTCACAGGGTTGTTGTTGTGGGGATAAGATGGAGGAGCAGATGTAAGCTGCCTTGAGCCCTTTGTAGGAAAAAGGCAGGATATCAATCAATCAATCAATCAAATTGGGATGAGTTTGCACTTGAGGGCTTGTCACAATTGCCATCCAGTGTAATGCATAGCTGTAGAGCCTAAACTGGCACATCCCGTACTCCAGATCTGGCATGAGAACCCGGGGCTGGTCTCATCCCTCAGCCTAGTCATGACCTCCAAAAAGATAGGCTGCGTTGCATCTCCTAGCAAACAGCCGAACTTGTATCTTGGGGGTGCAGAACCTCCTTCACATGGATTCCTTTCAGGGAAGCTCTCGGGGGCCGCATCCCCGTGATGGGTGGGGCCAAGACAAAAGGGGTGGGGCTAAAGTACCAGCATCTTTGAGCATCAAGCTCTTATTGTTAGTAATTAAGCCTTAGAAAGGGCACTTTGATATTTTAGAATGGGGGGAAAACCACACAAAATCTGGGAGACCACTGAAGAATCTGCAGTTGTGGGAAGCGGGGGAGACTGGGAAAAGGGGCGTGGCCATTTGGGGAATACTGGTGGGCCCAACAGGCCTGGGGGGATCTGGCCCACTGGCCTGAGGTTCAGCACCACTGCTCTATCGGCTTGCTTCGTTGGAAACAGTGCCTGTAGACATCTGCAAAAGCCACTGCCACCCAAACCTGATTCTCTGTTTCCACTTGTCAACAACTCCAGATCCTGGCCGAGTGGAAGCAGAAGTTTGAGGAGTCCCAGACGGAACTGGAGTCTTCCCAGAAGGAGGCGCGCTCGCTCAGCACGGAGCTCTTCAAGCTGAAGAACGCCTACGAGGAGTCGCTGGAGCACCTGGAGACCTTCAAGAGGGAGAACAAGAACCTGCAGGGTGAGTCTTTCCCCCTTCGCCGCCAAGGTCTCCTCAGTGGGCCTACCTCACAGGGCTGTTGTGCTCTGAATGAGCCCTCACCTGCTGAGCCTTGCCCTTTTTTTCCTTCGGGTAGAGGAGATTTCGGATCTCACAGAGCAGCTTGGGGCCAGCGGCAAGAGCATTCACGAGCTTGAGAAAGTGCGGAAGCAGCTCGAGGCGGAGAAGATGGAGCTCCAGGCGGCTCTTGAGGAAGCGGAGGTGAGGAAGACCACCTTGGACGTGATCTCACGGCACCCGCAGCCACCACATAGGCTTCCGTCCCTCTCACAGTTCAGCAGTCTTGCTGTCCTTCCCTCATATTTCTTTCTTCCTCCTCTCAAGTTCCTTCACCTTCCTCTCAGCCTTCAGCTAAATTTTGAAGGGAAGGCAGGAGAGGGCAACTCTGCCTCTTGGGCAACACCACCCATTTGAGCAAAATCCCCACCTGCTTTCAGACAGGAAATGGGCCCTTGTGTAGCCCCATAAGCACTGAACAATGGAACTCAGAATCAGGAGATACGTATTTTCTACAAACCTGCTTTGTGTCTGACATGGGATATATCACTGGTATTCCCACTCCATCCAACATCCTGTTCTAAAATAAATATTTAAGAGAGAACTATTGGCAAACAGCCTTGTCTATTTTCCATAGGAATATCGAGCAAATGTATCTCGACAGTTTCCTAAAACATGCGTGTGCATTTCTGTTTAGTAAAAATCCTGTTTCCCTCGCAAGTAAAATTCCTTGTTCTCCCATACCATGTTTTGATCAAGTACTCACTGGTTCCACCATTTTGTTCTCTCCCTTTACCCCTAATTCTGCAGGCTTCTCTGGAGCATGAAGAGGGCAAGATCCTCCGGGCCCAGCTGGAGTTCAACCAGATCAAGGCCGAGATCGAGCGCAAGCTGGCCGAGAAGGACGAGGAGATGGAACAGGCCAAGCGCAACCACTTAAGGATGGTGGACTCCCTTCAGGCTTCCCTGGACGCCGAGACCCGCAGCCGCAACGAGGCGCTGAGGGTCAAGAAGAAGATGGAGGGCGACCTCAACGAGATGGAGATCCAGCTGAGTCATGCCAACCGCGTAGCAGCGGAGGCTCAGAAACAAGTCAAAACTTTACAGGGGTATCTCAAGGTACTTCCGGGATGTTCGCTTTGGGCATCCTGTCCTTCTTCCCTCAGGTGTGTAGCACAGCAAGGTGGCCCCACCTTCCGGGCCACCGCCCCTCTCCCCTTCATCCCGGCTCTCCTTTTCTGACCAGGACACCCAGATCCAACTGGACGACGCTGTCCGAGCCAACGAGGACCTGAAGGAGAACATCGCCATCGTGGAACGCAGGAACAACCTGCTGCAGGCCGAGCTGGAGGAGCTGCGCACCGTGGTGGAGCAGACCGAACGGGCCCGCAAGCTGGCTGAGCAGGAGCTGATCGAGGCCAGCGAGCGCGTCCAGCTCCTCCACACCCAGGTGAAGCCACGCTTTTGGGGAGGTCAGATAATCTGGGGTGGGGGTCCCAGGTGACCAGCAGGAGGCTGGAGAAAACCGTAGGAATAATCAGAATGATGCTGTCCACCCGAAAGGATGAAAGAGGCACCCTGCTCTTTTCTCAGGCAATTTAGGGAGCGATTCTATGCAAGTTTGAGCAGAAAAATACCTTCTCCCAGAAAAATCTAAACTTGCCTAGATTGGAGCCTCAGTGGGTGCATTCAAGGACCTTCTCCGACACAATCCAGGCCTTCAGCGGCAATGGATGTAGATCGATTTTTTCTAAAATCCCCGGCCTGTTTCTCATGTGTTTCTTTTGCACAATCCAGAACACCAGCCTCATCAACCAGAAGAAGAAGATGGAGGCTGACATCTCCCAGCTGCAGACGGAGGTGGAGGAGTCCGTGCAGGAGTGCAGGAACGCCGAGGAGAAGGCCAAGAAGGCCATCACGGACGTGAGTGGGAGAGGAGAGGCGCCTGCGCACCGGTTCCGGCCGGGGGCTCTCCGGCGAGGACTGTGCCTGGCTGGCCACCCTAAAACAAGCGCATGTGGAAAGCACTCGTTTCTTACGTATGATGCATATTGGAGTGGACACCTTAACGGTGTGCTACAATACGACGGCATCTTCCTTCTGTGGAAAAAGGGATGAAGGGTATAAAGAAGCAGCAGCCCATAATAGCCCTGGGGGTGTGCAGCTTATGGCGATCAGTGGCCAGTATCCGTGGTGGCCGTAAGTCGTTTCCGTTGGGGGCAAACGAGGGCCTGCGGGTGTCTCACGGGCATGGCGTCCTTTTGGTCCTCCGGGGTGGTCCGGGTTCTCGAAGGAGCGGGGGGGCCTGACTGCCTGCCTCTCCCTCCCGCGGGGCAGGCGGCCATGATGGCGGAGGAGCTGAAGAAGGAGCAGGACACGAGCGCCCACCTGGAGCGGATGAAGAAGAACATGGAGCAGACGGTCAAGGACCTGCAGCTGCGGCTGGACGAGGCCGAGCAGCTGGCCCTGAAGGGCGGCAAGAAGCAGCTGCAGAAGCTGGAGGCCCGCGTGCGCGAGCTGGAGAACGAGCTCGAGGCGGAGCAGAAGCGCAGCGCCGAGGGCATCAAGGGCATGCGCAAGTGCGAGCGGCGCATCAAGGAGCTCACCTACCAGGTCCGCCTGCTCGGACAGCCGTATTTTTTCTGTAATGCTGCTGTTCCGAAACTGACACCTTTATTGACTGGTTGCTGTTCAGCTCTTCTTTTAACAGCCATTTGGCATCTTGTTTTAAAATCTGTCTAGTTTGCTTGAGTTGGTGCATGGCCCAGCCTAACCAGAATGTATTTGCGTCTGAGTCTAGTTGCCTCTGCAATATAGCAACCCCACGGAGTCAGCCCACACAGCCTCTAGAGAATCAGAGTTCTGCTCTAGAATGACCTAGAACCAGGACAATGAAGTTGTATAACCTAGAATTCCATAACTGAACAGATAGTGGGAGATCACTTTGTCCCAAATCTAGCAAGAGGAGCATCTGCCTAGGAGTCAAGCAGCTCATAAGTTGTCTCTCATATTGCAAGCAGCACACCTCTGTAGCACAATCTCTTGGGAACACGAGTGGCGCTGGGTGGTTGTGGTCATATGCCGGTCGTCTTTATGGGCTTCCCACAGGCAGCTGTGGGAAGAGAACACTGGATGAGTCAGGCCTTTGGGAAGATCCAATATGGCATTTCTGAGGTTCTAGGTTCTGCAATATAACAAATCAGCCAAGCATAGAAGGAAACTATACTCTGCCTCTCTCCCTTTATGGAAGACTTCTGAGACAGGGCTTGGTGTTCAGGGAAAATTCTAAGGGGAGAAATCGCTCTGCAATGAAGGAACCCCTCGTGCATGTCGCATTCTTGGCTCTAGAACACCGAGCCCCCTTCACGGTTCCAGAGCATGCTCCGTTTTGGGACGGTGACTTGCAGAGGACTTTCAAAATGTGACCACTTCTCTCTCATATCTAGAGCGACTCAGAACAAATTCAGGCTGACCACTGCAACAGGATGTGGCGAAGTTGTAAACGCAGCGCCGTGAACCGGCTCTGTATCTCCAGAAGATGGATTTTGACTTTTTCTTCCTCTTTCTCTCTCACCCTCTCATTTTTGCATCACAGACTGAGGAGGACCGGAAAAATCTTATACGCCTGCAAGATCTGGTAGATAAACTCCAGCTGAAGGTGAAAGCTTACAAGAGACAAGCGGAAGAGGCGGTGAGTTAGCCATTGTGCTTGACTGGCCTTTTTCTTGATATTTCTGAGGACCTTCCTAGATACATCCCTCAGAAATCAAAGCGCCTACACAGGAGATCTGCACAGTGTCCACTTTTCGTTGCTCAATTTCTCATCATTACTGCTTCTTCCACACCTAAGATATTAGCAATCACTTCCTGACCACCAAGCGACGAATGAGCACTTCCTATTCCATGTGCCACCTCCCTGGATTTTCTCCCATTCTCCGCACACCTTGAAGTATTATCTTACTTCTCCTCTGTGCTTCTCCGCATGGCTAACGAACCCCCGTCACAGCAGCTAAGCGCTCTAAACGATGACAGAGGCAAATGAAAATCCAATATCCAATTCCATTAGAATCAAAACTTACAAAGAGCGTAAAATCAAATACAGCAACGTCAGCAGAAAGGAAAATGGCAGATTAAAAACAGCCGCACTCTTAAAATCGGCCATCACCCTGCCAGATGCCTGCTGAGACGGGAAAATATTTTTTTTTGCTGGAGGGAGGAAGGGTTGGGGTCAGTTTTCTAAAACTCAGAAGGTTCACTGAGCATCCCCAAAGCTTTTTGCCTTGGGATGTGGGAGGAGCCACTCTATGGATTCACTATGGCTGGCTAATTCATGCAGCCTGAACCCTGGAAGAGGGTCATAAGCTGCGGGGTGGCACTAGAAGCCAGTTCCTTCCCCCTGGGGGGCTGTGGGATGCCCCATAGCAGAGGATGTGCCCCAGGCGCTATGGGGGCAGGGGGAAGTTTCATTCTGTTTGCACAGAACCTTCCCAAGGGCTGTTTTGAGTTAATTGACTAGTTAAACTGCCTGGAGGAACAGACACCATTGCTCAGTACTAGGATAGCAAAGCAAGTGCCCAGCAAGACTCTCCAGGGGATGGAGTTCCACAAAGGGCACTGCACAAAGCTGATCCCAAATGCACGTCTTCACATGCCTCTTCTGTGTTTCCTCTGTCTCCCAGGAGGAGCAGGCCAACAGCAACCTGGCCAAGTTCCGGAAGGTACAGCATGAGCTGGATGAAGCTGAGGAGCGGGCGGACATCGCCGAGTCCCAGGTCAACAAGCTGAGGGCCAAGAGCCGGGATATTGGGGCGAAGGTGAGAACGCCCGGAAGTGTCATCCCCCTCTCCCTTCCTTCCTTCCTTCCTTCCTTCCTTCCTTCCTTCCTTCCTTCCTTCCTTCCCTCTGTGCAATTCTCTTCTGATGCCTTCCTTTCTCTCTTTCTCTCCTTGTTCCCTTCCAGAAAGGACTGAATGAAGAGTAACTTCTTTGGAAAGCACATGTCCCATCTTCCTATAAAAACACACACCTGATTCCACACCTCAAAGGTGCTGGAGGACCCTTCCCCACTTCCCACGCTCTGTACATCAGCATCGCTTCCACAATGTAGAATAAAGACGCCCGAACAGCCTTGCATTGTGTTTGTGTGTGTGTGTGTACATGCACAGCCCTGTCTTTCTCTAACCTGGTGCTCTCCAGGGGTCTTGGAGCACAATTCCTGCCATCCACAGCTGGCATGGCCAGTGGTTGGCCATGGATTCTGGGACATGGTGTCCTACTTGTGGGCTTTGTTTGGGACTCGAGTTGGAAAGAGGATGTGGAACCAGAGTGGACTTTGCTCGTACCCAGCAAAGTCTGCTCTTGTGACATTCAGAACGTTCTGAGACCATCCCTCCCTGGATGGGCTTGGTGGAAGGATGTCCCTTTCGGTTTTCATTTATAAAGCTCTTTTTTTCTTTTTCTGCACTTGTGTGGATCTTAGTGCTTCTCCTTCTCCACTTTATCCTCATAACAACCCTAAGAGGTAGGTTAGGTTGCGAGGTGGGGCCTGGCCCCGGGTCCCCCAGGGCCAAGCGGGGACCACAACTCCGATCTCCCACGTCCCAGACCAGCACTCCACCTGCTGCCCCATGCTGGCCTTCTTGGGGGTCCTGCGGTCCTGGTGCGACCTCCTCCTTGCTTCACGGCTGCCCCGGTGGGTCTGCAACGCATTCCTGATTTCACAGTTCGCACGAACACTCAGACCTGCAACAAAATGTTGCAGCATCAGGCGGGCCTGCTTGGAATTCCAACCTGTCCAGCGCCTTTCTGGGGCACCTCAGTCCATCCCACCCCACCCCATTCCTTCCCCAAAGGTTGTACTTCCCCTCAGCATACTGAGACGCCCCGGTCATTCCTGTCAGCTGCAATAAACTCAAAGAATGTTTGCCGTGTGAACAGAGTCTGGCAGAGCACAAAGGGACCCATCTCTGCCCCACAGAGGTTCCAACCTCGATACTACAGCCCTTCCCTCTTCTCCGTAGGACCTTACACTGCCTTTTCCCCGTTCCCTGCATTTCCACCCACTGCTGAGCACTGAACTCAGAGGAACAAGTCAAAACTGCCCCCCTTGTTCTGGACTCACTTTCCTTTCTAATTGTTACTTCGGTCATGCGCTGCCACCTGGCGCTTTACACCTGGTAGTAGTGACGTGGGCCTGTTTTCTCCCTCTGTAAGGAAAAGCGGGGGTCTGTGCGAGCTCCGTGGGGCAGTCAGCCGCTTCCACGGGACTTCAGAATTTCATGCTCTAACCAGAGAAGTTCAAAAAGGAGCTGAAGTGAAGTCGGGACAGGCTGTGGAGGGAACATTGGAATAAAGAGTCAAAGCCCCCCGGAGCTGCCCAGGTTGGAACAGGGACCTTCTGTGAGCAGGACAGGTGCTTGAAGGTATTCGCAAATATTCCAATATGGGTCTCATCCCAGAGGAATTGGCAATGACCACTAGATTTTGAGGGGATAGTGCAGGGCCCCAAAAGTCTTTCTGTCACCTGACAGACCAGCCCACATGCAGCGGAGACACGGTTGTCGTTTTGCTGGATTTAAGAATTTTAGCAGCTTGGGATAAGGCAGCTTGGTGGGCCAAGGCGTTTGGCTGACTGAGGCATCCACAGATGCACCGTTCCACCTGCCAACAGAGAAGGGCAGGAGATGCAGCCATCCCCCAGAGCTCTTTTGGCGTTCATCCCTCGCCATCTTTATTGTGAAAGGATCCGCTGCCTGACTTTAATCAGGTGTACTTTACTGATCGGCCTGCTGTGTTTTGCATGGACGAGGCCTTTCTCTGCGCAAGAAGAAGCCTGTGGTTCTTCGCTTACGTCCTTTACAAATCCCTCACATGACATCGTTTCCCTCCAGAGCCGCTCTCAGGCTTTTGAAGCATTTCCCGGGCTGTTTTTAAAAGTGAGAAAAGTGCAGGATTATATGAGGATGGCGGAATGAACGAGAAGGAGATACTCAAGTGTTTGTGGAATTCTACTTTACTGCAGCTTCATCTGATCTTGGAATAATGGAAAATTCATTCATTCATTCATTCGAAAGACAGACAGACAGACAGACAGACAGACAGACAGAGTCTAGGAGGGGAAAACATCACATGCCTTAATCTAACAAAATCCGGAAGCAGAAGCCTTAATCTGACTTGGCCTTACCTAGCCAGGGAGCCTTCCAGATGTGCTGGGCTACATCCTAGGATGATGATGCTTGTAGTCCGGCAGATCTAGAGGGGACGCAGGCTTGGGAAAACTGATCTGGCAGAAGACTTGAGTGCTCATCGGGGACGCAGGTGACAACGTACCATCCCAGCTTTGCAGAAGGGAAATTCTCAGTGGAACTTGCTGATACAGAAGGAAACAAGGAAATCGGTGGTCCCCGATGAACAAAAGGCAGATTAAAATATGCATATGTGCAAATGAGATTAGGCCAGGCTGGTGGGTGCCTAAAGGGGATTAGAGGCATTTAAGTCCGATATTGAAGGAGATTAGAGGAGATGAAAGCACACCGATGTAGAGATTAGGTTGATTTATGCCGGATCTCCTGATTAAACTGATTAAAATAGGCTGCTGCTATTAAAATAGACTTAGAAGGATTAACAGGGGCAGGGTATTTATAGATTTTTAAAACATACACCCTGGAAGGGGAAGATTCCTGAGCCAGTCTATCTGATTTCCTGGATAAACCAGAAATCTGCTCTGAGATATTCCCGTTTGGAAATTTCCTTGCTTTTTAAAGGCCCTCCGCAGCAGCAAGAAACCATACTGAGCTCTTCCAAGAGAAAGAGGCTGGTGAGTGAACTGCTGCGTGTTGCTCGAGTAAGCAAGCCAAGCTACATGCGGCCTGTGAAGGAAGCAGGCTTTCCTTGTCGCGAGACACACCAGGCCCCCCTCACTTCTGCTGCTTCTCCTTCTCCTTCCGTACCCCACAGACTGTGAAAAGATTCACCTTTACCCAGGAAATGCCCACTTGGGGCATGTGACAGGTTTTCTACAGCTTTAGAACTTCTGCTTTATCAATCCTCTTGCATTTATGCACAACACACCCCTCTGAGGTAGTTTAACAGAGCAGTGGGGACTTCCCTGTGGCAATCCAGTGAGCTCTGCATTCAGGACTTGAACCCAGGACTCTCCTGATCAAAACTGCAACCCGTTGTATTTTTATTTATTTATTTATGTATTTATTTAAAGCATTTTTATGCCGCCCCCATCACAACGAAGCCTTGGGGCGGCTCACAACAGAAACAAAATACACAAATAAATAACAATATAACAATAAAAAAAATATTTAAAACCTCTGGTGCATCTCGGCTAAAAATTTAAAATCCTATAAACACAAATAATTTAACAATTAAAATAAGTTTTAAATAAAAAGGTCTTGGCCTGGCGCCGAAAAACAAATAACGACGGTGCCAGGCGGACCTCTCTGGGGAGTGCATTCCAGAAATGGGGCGCCACCGCAGAGAAGGCCCTCCTCCGGGTACTCACCCTCCTAATATCCTTCACGGAGGGTTCCCAGAGAAGGGCATCTGTTGCTGATCTCAAGGGGCAGGAGGGCATATATGGACGCAAGCCCACTCCTTTTCCCTCGCACATCTCTTCATCAGACTGCCCCACTCTCCCTAGCAACACCCCCCACACACATAATGCGGAATGTCTTTTACTGTTTTTCCCGGCACTCTTCCCCTTTCTAGTTCCTTTACATACAGGGTCGCCTCTGTCTTCGGTCCCCGTGATCTTTACACACGGCAGAAAACTGGGAGCAGCTTCACGGGCGAACGCAGCGATGCCAACATAAAAATAGGCCTGCTAAAGGTCCTTCTAGTGCAGCACATTCCACGATTGTTTCGCCTCCGGGAAACCCGCAAGAGGGCACAAGGCCAGCGCACTTTGCTGCGCTGGCGTTCGAGAGTGGTGCCACTCTAAGGAGTGCCGAGACACTGCTCTTCGTTACCTTCGCTCCGCGGGTGGCGTTGACTCCCGTAACCTAAATGGCTCCTTTGCAAAGGTTCCTTTCGTCCATTCACCCTGAACTGACCGAGAATCGATTTTCTCAGCTACCCTGTTATGAGAGGAATTCAGGAGAAGACGCACCCTTTTTATGCATCGTGGCTGCACCGAGCCAGGGAATTCCCTCGTGCAAACTCACCGATAGACACCTGCATTTGGTGTTGTAGGTGGGAGGCTGTGGCCTTTCGAGCTGCCCTGAACTGGACTGCAAGACAAACAGGAAAGGGTCTCCTTCTCCATTCCCGGGACATAAGGTAGGATAACTGGGAACGCTGGATCCTGCAAAGAATGCACAAGGGACAGTCAGCTCCTTCATGCTGTGTATGAGCTCCCCAGAAGCTCCTGGCTGTCCTCTGTTGGGCACAGATAACTGGGCTAGGTGAACATTGGGTCCGATTCAGCAGGGCTTTTCTGCAAGGCTTACGGATGAGCGCAAAGAGTGTGCATCTAGCACTTCCGCTCTCGTGAGATGCAAATCACACTGGAACATTGGAGGCTGCCTTGTACTGGCTTTCTCCCGGGTCCTCCTAGCCTGTCCCTGTCAGCACAAACTGGCAGTAACCACTTGCCCAAGTTTCGGGTCAAGTCCCATCATTCCTGGCCAGGAACCCTGCCGGCTGGGGCAGATGGGAGTTATACTCCAAGACCTCCAGAGGGCACCAGGGTGGACTGCTCCTGGCTTAATCTGCAAATGTTGGATGCTATTCTGGTTCTGGTGAAGTTAGCCGTGGGACCCAAAGACATTATCCGTCATCTACACCAGCTACAGAGCAGCGGTCCCCCACATCCCCCGCATGGGCACCTCCAGCGGGACCTGCACTTCACTCTCTACCCTCTTAATAAACAAACAAACATTTGAAAAATATTGGGGTGACCACTCTTCTTCCAGTCCCTGAACTTGCCACCGATCAGAGGACAGGGAGAGAAGGCACAGAAGAGAAAGAAATTCTGTGCGGATGGGAAAAGATTGGGAGGAGACAGAGAGACTCTCTCTCCCTTGAGCCTTTCTACTTCTCTCCCATCATCCACGCACCTCCAGCACAGCCCTG